TTTTTTTTTGTCACACACACCCTCCTTGGCTTATTACTTTCTTGAAAGAAAATTTTTAAAAATGCAAATTAGCCAACCAAAAAATGGAATCAAAATTATTTATATATAATAAATATAAATATAAACTATAAAAGTATATGATTTACATATTTCTATATTTATAACACATTATATAATACTATATATTATATATGTATTGTATAATATATAATATACAATTGACTATGCTATATATTATATATGTATTATATAATAGTATATTATATACAATTGTATATAATATACTATATAATTATATAACACAATAATATGCATATTATTCTATATAATATAGCATATATTATACATGAATACAGTACATATGATTTATATTATAAAACGTGTCATTATGTTAATATATATTATACAATAACATACCATATACTACATTATTTATAGACATATTTATAAATAAATATGAATAACATACATTATTTTATATAATATATAAATTTATACAGGACTATGTTTAGTCTTATATAAATTATATAAACATAATTTATATGTTATATGAATATATGCTATTTAATATACAACATAAGTTTATATATTCTATTAAATTTATACATTATAAATATATGATATACTGTATAAATGTATGGCATTTCTATAAATAGAAGTACTATCATAATTCTATATTTATATTTATATATAATTATAAACTATTATACTATGTAAGCACATAGAATGAATTTTCTATAACAATAATTTTAATATCAGCTTCTTTTTAATGAAAAAATTGTTCTAAGTAGCCGCTGCCGGTAGCGAGCAGAGTGAGGGAAGGTGGGGGTCCGCCCTGGCCGGTGGGCCGCTGGGCCGAAAGTTCCCGCCCGGCTCGGGGGCCGAGCCAGCAGTGCTTCCGCGGCAGCTGGGCAGCGCCTTGCGTCCAGGCTCGCGCCCCAGCTGCCGCCGACTACAGCGGCCGAGAGAAGTTGGGGTCCGACTGGACGCGTACAGGGCCCGGGACCCCAGCGCCGCGGCGACCCCAGAGGAACCGGCTTCTTGCGTCCCGCCTCCCTGGAAGCTCCGCACTGGATTTGCAGATTTATAGGATGACTGCACATTAATGGAAAGAGAAGCATAAACCTATCTTGGTTCATTATGGAGGGAGGTTTGGCAGACGGAGAACCTGATAGAACTTCGCAAATAGTGACGAATCTCAACTTCTGACACCAGGAAAGATGAGTCAGCGCCAAGGAAAAGAAGCTTATTCAACGCCAACCAAAGATTTGCATCAGCCATCTCTTAGTCCAGCAAGTCCTCATAGCCAGGGTTTGGAAAGAGGGAAGGAAGATATTTCTCAAAACAAAGATGATTCTTCACTTTCTATGTCAAAGAGCAAGTCTGAATCTAAACTTTATAATGGCTCAGAGAAGGACAGTTCAACTTCAAGCAAACTCACAAAAAAAGAATCTCTTAAGGTACAAAAGAAAAATTACCGTGAAGAAAAGAAAAGAGCCACAAAGGAGCTGCTCAGTACAATCACAGATCCTTCTGTTATTGTTATGGCTGATTGGCTGAAGATTCGTGGTACTCTAAAGAGCTGGACCAAGTTGTGGTGTGTGTTGAAACCTGGGGTGCTACTGATCTATAAAACCCAAAAAAATGGTCAGTGGGTAGGAACAGTTCTTCTGAATGCCTGTGAAATCATTGAGCGTCCATCAAAAAAGGATGGCTTTTGTTTCAAACTTTTCCATCCTTTGGAGCAATCTATTTGGGCAGTGAAGGGTCCAAAAGGTGAAGCAGTTGGATCCATTACTCAGCCCTTACCTAGCAGTTATTTGATCATCCGAGCTACTTCAGAATCAGATGGAAGGTGCTGGATGGATGCTTTGGAGTTGGCTTTGAAATGTTCTAGTCTTCTTAAACGTACAATGATCAGGGAAGGAAAGGAACATGACCTGAGCATTTCATCAGACAGCACACATGTGACTTTGTATGGCTTATTACGTGCTAACAATCTCCATAGTGGGGACAACTTCCAGTTAAATGATAGTGAAATTGAACGACAGCATTTTAAGGACCAAGATATGTATTCTGATAAATCTGATAAAGAAAATGATCAAGAACATGATGAATCTGACAATGAGGTGATGGGGAAAAGTGAAGAAAGTGACACAGATACATCAGAAAGACAAGATGACTCATATATAGAGCCTGAGCCTGTTGAGCCTTTAAAGGAGACTACCTACACTGAACAGAGCCATGAAGAACTTGGGGAGGCAGGTGAGGCTTCTCAAACAGAAACTGTGTCTGAAGAAAACAAAAGCCTTATCTGGACATTATTGAAACAAGTCCGTCCTGGCATGGACCTATCCAAGGTGGTTCTGCCTACATTTATTTTGGAACCCCGTTCCTTCCTGGATAAACTTTCAGATTACTACTATCATGCAGATTTCCTGTCTGAGGCTGCTCTTGAAGAAAATCCTTATTTCCGTTTGAAGAAAGTAGTGAAATGGTATTTGTCGGGATTTTATAAAAAGCCAAAGGGACTGAAGAAACCTTATAACCCTATACTTGGTGAGACTTTCCGTTGTTTATGGATTCATCCCAGAACAAACAGCAAAACTTTTTATATTGCAGAACAGGTCTCTCATCATCCACCAATATCTGCCTTTTATGTTAGTAATCGAAAAGATGGATTTTGCCTTAGCGGTAGTATCCTGGCTAAGTCCAAGTTTTATGGAAACTCATTATCTGCAATATTAGAGGGAGAAGCACGGTTAACTTTCTTGAATAGAGGTGAAGATTATGTAATGACAATGCCATATGCTCATTGTAAAGGAATTCTTTACGGCACAATGACACTGGAGCTTGGTGGAACAGTCAATATTACATGTCAAAAAACTGGATATAGTGCAATACTTGAATTTAAACTAAAGCCATTCCTAGGGAGTAGCGACTGTGTTAATCAAATATCAGGAAGACTTAAATTGGGAAAAGAAGTCCTAGCTACTTTGGAAGGACATTGGGATAGTGAAGTTTTTATTACTGATAAAAAGACTGATAATTTAGAGGTTTTCTGGAATCCAACACCCGATATTAAGCAATGGAGATTAATGAGGCACACTGTAAAATTTGAAGAACAGGGAGATTTTGAATCAGAGAAACTCTGGCAGCGGGTAACTCGAGCCATAAATGCCAAAGACCAAACCGAAGCTACCCAAGAGAAGTATGTTTTGGAAGAAGCTCAAAGGCAAGCTGCCAGAGATTGGAAAACAAAAAATGAAGAGTGGTCTTGCAGATTATTTGAACTTGATTCACTCACAGGAGAATGGCATTATAAGTTTGCAGATACCCGACCATGGGATCCACTTAATGATATGATACAGTTTGAAAAAGATGGCGTTATTCAGACCAAAGTGAAACATCGTACTCCAATGGTTAGTGTCCCCAAAATGAAACATAAGCCAACCAGGCAACAGAAGAAAGCAACAAAAGGCTATTCCTCCCCAGAACCTGACATCCAAGACTCCTCTGGAAGTGAAGCTCAATCAGTAAAACCAAGTACAAGAAGAAAGAAAGGAATAGAACTGGGAGACATTCAGAGTTCCATCGAATCTATAAAACAAACACAGGAAGNTAGCAAAGACCTGGAACAAACCATCGTTCTACTATAAGGACACGTGCACACGAATGTTCATTGCAGCACAGTTTACAATAGCAAAGACCTGGAACCAACCAAAATGCCCATCGACGATAGACTGGACAGGGAAAATGTGGCACATATACACCATGGAATATTATGCAGCCATCAAAAACGACGAGTTTGTGTCCTTTGTAGGGTCATGGATGAACCTGGAAACTATCATTCTCTGCAAACTAACAGAAGAGAAGAAGATCAAACACCGCATGTTCTCACTCATAGGTGGGTGTTGAACAATGACAACACAAGGACACAGGGAGGGGAGCACTACACACTGGGGTCAGTTGGGGGGAAATACGGGAGGGACGTGGGGAGTGGGGAGTTGGGGAGAGATAGCAAGTAGAGAGATGCCAGATGTAGGTGATGGGGAGGAAGGCAGCAAATCACACTGCCACGTGTGAACCTTTACAACAATCTTGCATGTTCTTCACATGTACCCCAAAACCTAAAATGCAATAAAATAAATAAATGGAAAATATATATATATATATATAAAACATGGCATTTAAACAAAAATCTACAGCCATGTCCAGAAAAAGAAACAAATTAAGTAAACATAAAGAGAAACAACAGACAATAAAATAAAGGAAATCCAGATAGTGGAGTTATATGAAACAGACATTAAAACAATTTTGATAGATGTTCAAGAAAATGAATAACAACGAAATTCACCAGTGAATAAAGTCTATTTATATATGATTAATTTCATTTTTATTTAATAATTTAACTTTTTTTTTTCAAATTGATCCATAATTGTTAACAGTCAAGTGGTAATTTGTCAGGCAGAATTAGAATTAAAAAATAATTATCAAACAGTTCTAAAAGGTCTATTGCACACACAAAAAAGTTATCTTTCCTCTTTCTCCATTCCTTTTCCCGACAATTACACCTTTCAAATACTTAGGTACCTCTTTGCATGTTTATATCCATATTTCTAAATAATTGGTTTTTTTAAAAATATTGATTTCTGATTAAAACATTTAACTGAAGGGTGAAGATATAATGCTCTTACTTGCTTTTCCAATTCACCTGCATACGTTCTGTTCTGATGATTCCATCTATGATTTTTACTTTCATCTCTCATCAGCTAAAATTTGTTTATTTCTATTTTATTTTATTTTACTTTATTTTGAAGATGCAGTTTCTCTCTGTCAACCAGAGTGGAGTGCAGTGATGCAAAATTGGCTCACTGCAACCTGTGTATCCCAGGTTCAAGTGATTTTCCTGCCTCAGCCTCCAGAGTAGCTGGGATTACAGGTACCCACTACCATACAAATCAATTTTTTTGTATTTTTAGTAGAGACAGTGCTTTACCATGTTGGCCAGGCTGGTCTCGAGCTCCTGGCCTGAAGTGATCCACCTGCCTCGGGCTCCCAAATGTGGGCTTACAGTTGTGGTCCACAGCACCCTGCCAAAATTTGTTTATTTTTAACAAATAATAAAATAGTGATTCTGGAACCAACCAAAAATAAACATGTAAAATGCACTCAAGACATATGCTTAAAGCAAATTGGACACAGCAGAAGGGATTAGTGAATGTTAAACAGGTCAGTAATAAAATTTCCTGCTATTGTGTGAGGAGAAGTAAAGGTGGAAACAGAAAAAAATAGTTAGAGAGAATTAGAGCGCAGTGAATAGTCAAACATGCAACTGAAATCTGAGAAGGAAAGGGGAGAAAGAGTGAAGTGAAAGCAAAACTGGCTGAGAATTCTCCAAAACCAATAAAGACATGAAGCCACAGATTCCGGAAGTTCTATAAACTCCAAACAGGATATGTGCAATAAAATCCACATGAAAGCATTCGTCATTACATTTCTAAAACCCAAAGACAAAATATTAAAAGCAGCCAGGCCCCCTGTAGATGACTTGTCAACAAAAATTTAAAAAGCTAGTACAATCATTGTTATCATCTTTGGTCCACTAAAGGAAAATAGCTATTCACTAAGTTCTGAATGCAGGGGACACGCCCGCTAAAAAGAAAACTGAGCAATTTTTGCTTCTATGTTAGTAGGTTGGTGCAAAAGTAATTGCAGTTTTTGCCATTGAAAGTAATGGAGGTAGGGTGCAATGGCTCATGCCTGTAATTTCAGAACTTTAGGAGGCTGAAACAGGTGGATGACTTGAGAGGTCAGGAGTTTGACACCAGCCTGACCAATATGGTGAGGCTCTGTCTGTATTAAAAATGCAAAAATGAGCCCAGCATCATGGTGGCTGCCTGTAATCCCAGCTACTTGGCAGGCTGAGGCAGAAGAATTGCTTGAACCCAGGAGGTTGAGGTTGCCGCGAGCTGAGACCACTCCAGCCTGGCAAAAGAGCAAGATTCCACCTCAAAAACAAAAGTGAGGCCGGGCGTGGTGGCTCAAGCCTGTAATCCCAGCACTTTGGGAGGCCGAGGCGGGTGCATCATGAGGTCAAGAGATCGAGACCATCCTGGCCAACATGGTGAAACCCCGTCTCTACTAAAAATACAAAACATTAGCTGGGCATGGTGGCGTGAGCCTGTAATCCCAGCTACTCAGGAGGCTGAGGCAGGAGAATTGCCTGAACCCAGGAGGCGGAGGTTGCGGTGAGCCGAGATCGCACCATTGCACTCCAGCCTGGGTAACAAGAGCGAAACTTGGTCTCAGTAAAAGAAAAAAAGAAAAAGAAAGAAAGAAAAAGTAACGGCAAAAACCTCAATTATGTTTGCACCAACATACTGTAGTGTCCCTCCCACTATCAACAATTGGAAACTAAACAAAGGTACAAATTAGGTGTTTTCTGTAATTGGACAACTGACAGTACAGGGCTGTGATCCATGTGAGAAGTGAACAAATTACATATGTCCTGTGACTGCCAAGCTTTCTACCTGAAGATATTTTCAGTATCACTGTAGAGGCAAAGGAAGCCAAACAGAACACAGTGGCCTCACTAAATTGAGGGATCAGAGTCATGGAGGCCTAGGTAGCTACATTTTGGGGGACAGGGAACTGGAGAGGAGAAGGCTACACAGATAAAAAGGTAGCAATTTTTCATAAAGATTTCTTTAAGTTTCTAGTTGATAACTCAGATGTGCATTTAAAGACTAAAATCCCATGCCGCTAGGAGGAGAGCAGTTAGTGGAGAGGTGTAAGTACAACAATTTCTAGATGTAAGAAAGGACTGGAACATAGGAAAGTTCTGATGATCCTGGGTGAGAAAACTCATTGGACACCTGGGGAGTACAAGACAGCCCATAGATGGATGGCACCTTCCTGGCAGCAGGAAAAGACTAGCTCTAGAATAACAGCTGTTTTAAGACTTCATCTAAGTTCCTTATAGATCCTGAATATTAGGCCTTTTGATAGGTACATCGTTTGCAAATATTTTCTCCAATTCTATACGTTGTCTCTTTACTTTTTAATTTCTTTCACTTTGCAGGTGCTCTTTAGTTTAATTAGATCCCACTTGCCAATATTTGTAATTGTTATCATTGCTTTGGGCATCTTTGTCATGAAATCTTTGCAGGATCTATGTCCACAGTGGTAACTTACAGGTTTGATTCAAGGGTTTTTATAGCCCCATCAAAACTTAGATTTTAGGCTTAAGCCTTCAATCCATCTTAAGTTGATTTTTGCAAATGGTAAAAGGAAGGGGTCTAGTTTCAATCTTCCACATCGGATAGACAGTTATCCCAGCAACATTTATTGAAAAAGGAATCCTATGACTGTGAAAAGCAGTTTGGCAATCACTAAGAGAACTTAGAGCAGGACTAGCATTTTACTCAGCAATCCAGTGAGTATATTCCCAAGGAATACGAACCTTTCTGCCAGAAAGTCCTGTGCATACATATGTCCATCACAGTACTATTCACAATAGTAAACACATGGAATCAATATAAGTACCAACAACGGTAGACTGGATTTAAAAATGTGGTACATATACACCATGAAATTCCATGCAGGCATACAAAGGAATGAAATCACATCTTTTGCAGCAATATGGATAAAGCTAGAGGCCATTATCCTAAGCAATCTAATACAGAACAGAAAATCAAATACCGCATGTTCTCAGTTAAAAGTGACACCCAAACATTGAGTACACATAGGCAGAAAAAATAGAGGAACAAACACCACGGCGTACTTGAGGGTGGAGTGTGGGAGGAGGGTGAGGATAATAGGACTACCTGTCAGATACTATGTTCATTACCCTGGTAATCAAACAATCTGAACATTAAACCCCTGAAAGACTCAACTGACCTATATAATAATCTTGAACATGTACCTCTGAAATAAAAGTTTAAAAAAAAATTTTTAAATACTAAGAATTTCCTAATAAGAAAAATTCTCCCTAAATTTAAAGGTGAGGGCTGGGCAAAGTGACTCTTGCTTGTAATTGCAGCATTTTGGGAAGCCAAGTGGGTTAATCACCTGAGGTTAGGAGTTCAACACCAGCCTGACCAACATGATGAAAGACAGTCTCTGCTAAAACCAAAGTTAGCTGGGCATGGTGGCAGGTATGTGAATGAACAAGTGATCTTAGCAAGGTCACAGAATACAAGGTCAATGCCAACAATAAACAACTGAAAAATAAAATTTTAAAAACAGTCTCATTGAGGCTGACTGTGGTGTTTCATGCCTGTGATCCCAGCACTTGGGGAGGCTGAGGTGAGCGGATCATGATGTCAGGAGTTTGAGCCCAGCCTGGTCAACATGGTCAAACCCCATCTCTACTAAAAATACAAAAAATATCCAGGTGTGGTGGTGCGCTTCTGTGATACCAACTGCTGGGAACACTAACGCAGAAGAAATGCTTAAACAAACTAAACCGAGATCATGCCACTGCACTCCAGCCTGAGCAACACAGCGGGACACTACCTTTAAAAAAAAAAAATTGCAGGCCTGGCACGGTGGTTCAAGCCTGTAATCCCAGCACTTTGGGAGGCCAAGGTGGGTGGATCACGAGGTCAAGAGATCGAGACCATCCTGGTCAACATGGTGAAACCCCGTCTCTACC